TATTTTTTAAGCTTGAACAGCAGTGATTTATTTTCATCAGAAGATTTAATTGCGGTTTTTAAGTTTTCAACTACTCTTATTATTTTTTAATAGTTATTTTCACAAGAGAAAATTTAAGAAAGAAATTTTGATTTTAATCAACACATATGATAATATTGCATGTAAAATAAGCTTTCTTAGTAAAAGTTATCAATTCCAGAAAATTATTTCTTGTACTGGATCTGCAATAAAAGGTTCCCTTTCCCCAGTACTCTTCTTAACGTGGGCTCAAATATTAACATTGACAGGGTTCGTAGTGGTCTTTACAAGTGCTTATAAGTCCTTATATTTAAAAATAAATTATACAAGCCCTTATAGGTGCTTACTTTTTCTCTAAAGCAATTATATTATTATTATTATTTTTTTTTTACCCTGTATATTCTTTGCCTTTGGTACGTTCGAGTATAGACAGGTGTACGTTGTTCTATACTGGTCAAAGAATTGCGAAATCGGTAGAAAATTCCGATGCATTCCGTATTCTTTTGCTCCTACCCAGTACTACACACATTTGAATTTCTATCAAGATTTTAATAATTTACATTCTCGTTCCACGTGGTCAGTTCATATTCGTGTTTATTATGAGCATATGTATGAATATTTATAATATATTTGCAGTAACTGCTGAAGTATAGATAACTTCAAAAATGGGTAAGGAATAATATTCAGAATGCCATAAATAAAATAATCGAATGGTCCCCCCCACCTCCTCTCTCTCTCTCTTTTCTTTTTTTTTCTTTTCTTTTTTTTTTTTAAATGCATTATACAGTACAGAAGTTGGGGGTTCTCCCCTTTCTCCGCAAAATCTCGAATATTGAAACCATTACAATGCGCAGCAAAGCAAGCAACAGACTTTTGGGGGGCGTCACTTTCTATCTGGATTGAATAGGACTGAAAATTCTGCAGTCTACCAACCCAAGCGAAGAATGATTCTATCCCGGAAATTTAATGCACTCTGTTTAACCCTTTGCGACACGCATATTTAAAATATATTTTAATCTTTAAAAAAATGCCTTAGAATAAGTCAGATGGACTTACTTAAGTGCTTTTAAGGCTTGAAAAAAATTTGCGCTTTTAGTTTTTACGGGGGAAGGTGGGATACCGTTTGCCCCACCATGCAACTAGCACGTCTTATAGCATATTGGTGTATAGCAGGGAAAAAAAATCATATGTGGAATGAATAAACAAAATAAAGCGTGCATTCTAAAATATTCATAATAAACACACTAAAATGCATTTTGTACTTATTGCATATATGCATGACTTGTAAATTTTTCATATATATATTTAATATTTTTAAATTTTAGGAACAAAAAATATTTTTTTGAATATATTTTAAGATTAAATTTGATACACGTACCTAGATACTAAATAAAATATTAAAATTGGTACTTGATTCAAAAACATTTATATATGATTAAAAATGAAAAAAGTCATTTTTCATAAAACTTTGAAAAACATGTTGTTTCATTCTTTTGTAAGTATGGAGGACACTTCACATGTTTCACACATCCAAAATGTTCGGTCGTTCTTCTTTCGATGTGCTGCAATATGCACATTTTCTGCTGCTCCTTCTCTCTGGTGTGTAACTTACATTTTTTAGTCTCTTTTCTGGTTGTACGAACAGGTTTTTTAGTTTTTATTTGAACTGGGGATTTCAGTTCATTTTTCAGCTCTTTCTTGCCTGCAAAGTGCCATTAGACCTTCTATAACTGAGAGACTAAAATCTTTCATTGTTTTTACAACATGATCGGGTTCGCGAACAAACTTAAATAGAATAAATGTGTTTACTATACTCGCATGTAAAAAGGTAAAAAAATATCCTGTGCCATCATTTCTTGCTTTTGCGGCCTATTTCATATAATCCTTTCAGTTGATCAAATAAGTCGACATATTCCATATTCTTATATGAAATAATGCTGTTTGGGCACAGTACTTTTTTTGTTGTTGTTGTTGTTATTGTTTTTCCATCTCGTTCTTTTCTATTTTCTTTCATTTCAGTTGCCTTTTCCAAGAAAGGACAACTGAAATGATAGAAACAGATCTTTTATCCTTCCATTTTATGCAATAAATTGAAGTCATCATTAACTGAAAAGTCTTATATCTCCTCTCGACATAAATTTGTCTTCTTTTAAGTTTTTGGGTAGATACTTCCGATTCATGTTTACAGTGTCACATGCATAGATGTTCTATGTCTTTAAAAAGCGAAACAAATTATAACTACTTCCCTTTCTTCTTCAGTAATAACTTCAACCTCAGTTATTCTCTCTTGAATTTCAATTTCATCTGAATCAGAAGCATTTGAGTTGCAATCGGATGGCAATTCAGCAAAAAGATCCAAAGCTTCCTGGGTTGTTAATTTTTTTCTAGACATTTTTGCACATCAGAGCATATAATGGATGTAAAAGTGCGCACAATCACGAAAAAAGAAAAGAAAAAATAATCATGAGTGCTGCCATCTATTGAGCGGAAATTCAAGTGTGTGGTGAGACAAATTTTAACCCACTTATTTCAACTGCAAAATTAATGTTATAAAATATTGAATTCAATTAAGTTTTGAAAGTAAATACCTTTGAATATTAAAAAGATTATACATATCATAATTGTATACCAAAATTTTAAAATATTGAAAAATGCGAGATACATGGATATCACTCTTGTGATCCTATTTTGAATATTTTTTGCTTATAAACTTAAGCCCTGGTATAGTAATGACATCTGAGAAAAATAATAACCAAAATAGATTATTTTAAAAAAATTAGAAAATTTCTAACGGAAATTGCTGACTGAGAAAATAAATATTAATTAGGTGGGACATATATTGACCCACCATGCCGCAAAGGGTTAAAATTAGAATAAAAAACATCCCAGATTGGTAGATCTCTTTATTAATCAATACGACTATGAAAGGGATATCGCACATAGAGCTACATGTCCTGCTCAATGATAAATATGCCACATGGGCGCCTGACAGTGAAAACTGGACGAAGCAAAGGGACGTTTTCCTTTATTTAGGTCATTTTTTCTCCGAATACCGGCACCTGTTGATTTCGATTGCGTGATATCACGTGAGGAAGAATTAAGGTTCACATATTGCGCAATAACGTTTGCAATATTTCTCAGAGATAAAAAAGTTTTGCTGTGCTTGCTAAGCAGAATATTTTTCACAGTTCCATTGGGCTACTTTTTATATGATGCAGATAGCAGAATATCAAAAGCATTATTTAGCTGAAAAATCTAAAGAACGGCTACAATCTACCTTCTTCCACTTTTACCAGTTACACTCCTCTATCCGGAATTTCAGATATATGGCAATTTCTGGGTATGCCGGTTAGTTAAGCTTTTACTTTTAAAAGATGACTGCATGAAGCAATTTGCTGTCTTCTGATTTCATATAATAAATATGGCTTATTTTTTATTTATTTACTCTATTTTGAACTGAAATTTCATCATTAAATCTTGTAATACAGTCAAAAGTTGTTAATTCGGACCTCAAAGCTAAAAACTTTCTGCGCATGCGCCACGTTGACACATGCGCATAGGCGTTTACACGTGCGCGTAAGACCTTTTACGACTGTGCATATGAGTGTGCGCAAGCGCAGAATACGTTTTCGCGTGCGCGTTTTATGTATAACGGACGCTATAAGCTAAGATTATCTAATTATCTATTTCAGTTAATGTTGATGATAGCGTTGTTCCTTAATTTTCGAATTGGATCCGGCTTATTCTTTTTTGCAGACTATAAGAGCAATTTTATAAGTAAACTGAACTTTCGATTATGTCAATAGAAATTTCCGATGCTGGAGCTCCCAAAGGATCTACAAAACGAAAGTATGTTTCGATGTCCATCAAACAAAAAGTGGAATTGCTGCAAAAAATGGATAAAGACATGAAGAAGGTGACAGAGAGGTTAGTGAAAACGAAAAAATTTCTATTGACAAATTAGTCGGTATTCTCGACACAGCAATTATAGAACTTGAACAGCGGAACTTTGTAACTGAACAGGAAATTATGTCTGTTTATAGAATTAAAGAGAATGTATTATCACATAAAAAATAAAGCAACTTACATTGAAAGAAATGTTTAATAAAGTAAACAAATAAATATTAAGTGGTTTTTTTTTTTTTTTTTTTTTTTTTTTGTAAATTTTGATACCCTTTAGATGATAATTGTTCTTTATGTAAACTGACGATCTATAATCCGGAATCGACGAAATCCCGACAAGTCCGGATTAACGACTTTTGACTGTATAATTTAGTTTTGCATAGTTTTTTTTCTCTCATTGTAAACTAGTTCTGTAAATTGAACTGTTACTTAAAATTAAAAAAAGAATAATTTTTTTCCATGAATGAGTAATGCTCGTTCTCTCTTAATAAATACTGAATTTCTCATATTTTAAATTACAAGTCTAATTTTTTGTTTTAAGGTTACGCAGTATAATGTAATTAGACAGGTCTTCTTAAAATTTGCTTGAAAAGTGCTTATAGGTGCTTATTTTTTTAACTAAAATGTGGCTACGAACCCTGATTAATAACTGCACCATATCATCCTTAGTTAAAGAATTTAAATGCTTACATAAAAAGGGAAAAAGAGTATTTAAAAAATAAAGCGAAAGTAATCTTCAAAAATTGGGGGACAAGGGTTTAAACAAAAATCAATTCCGTAATTATAAATGAAAGGTAACTGAAGACACATGCAGAATTTGCATTAATAACCAAAATGCCCTCCCCCCCTTTTTTGTGATTGGTTACTCTTTTCTAAGCAAGTCCCAAGTTCTCATCCTAATTAAGCATCCTGGAATCCTGTAAAAATAATCAAATACTGTTTAAGATGGCCATGTATATAATTCTAAGAATGATGTAAAATTGGAACGTAATCATCTTACATACAGCATTTAGTATTCTTATAATTTTGTTTCAGTTTAGATTTGAAGTAAATTAATGCATTTTGGAATTTCATTCTAGATCATTCTTGATTTGAAAAATGGGAAAAGGAGATAATAAACCTAGAGGGCGTATGTCCGCATATGCCTTTTTTGTACAGACATGCCGTGAAGAACACAAGAAAAAACATCCTGACGAGTCTGTTGTGTTTGCTGAATTTTCTCGCAGATGTGCAGATAGGTGGAAGGTAAATCTTTTTCAAAATTTCTGATTTAGATAATATTTTATCTATCAGATTTTGTAAGCTAAAATTTCATGATCGCTATTTCCATTTAGACAATGTCCGAAAAGGAAAAAACAAGATTCCATCAAATGGCAGAGAAAGATAAAAAAAGATATGAATCAGAAATGGCTAATTATAAGCCTCCCAAAGGTGGTGATGCCAAAAATGCCAGGAAAAGGAAACGCACCAAGGATCCTAATGCACCAAAAAGATCATTGTGAGTATGAAATTCTAATATTCATTATTTGGGAGATCTAAATTCCTGTATTCTAGTGAACCCTTTTCTTTGATAATTAGTAATGATTCCACTCTATTGATGTCTTCTTAAGAGAAGCTGGTTATCTTGTTAATTGATTTATATATTCAAATTAGACTAACTTTATGTTGCGTAGTGTAGTCAAAAGTTAAACCTTCCTTTCTTCTAATTGACTTTTTTTGCATAAGTGATTGAAAGAATTATTTACACATTGCGGCTGTATTTTTAACATTTCGAATTTGTTGTGATCTGTTGAAGTATGATTATGAAAATCTGGGATTTACTGAAGCAAGAAATGTTAAGATATCTTTGATTTGAAGAAGTAGGCATCAGTGCACTAAGAGAAGCATCAAGTAATAAAACAGAAAGATCATGATTATGGCTGAGAATGATGAAAGATTTTTTTTTCCCAAATGAAGAATAGTATTAGTTGAGTATGATCACAGTGCTGTTTTTGCACATTTTTGGTGCTGTTAGCCATGTGACAAATGCAGCAATTTTTAAAATTTGTGCAAGTGTTGTTACTCAATGCAATTAAAATTGCCAAGTGATTCAGTATTTTCAAATTGTTAGCAAACCTAGAAAACAAAAGAATTAAATGGTTTTTATCATTTCTAAGTAAATCAATATTCCAGATAATGTGCATATACCGAAAAATCTGCAAGGCTCTTGTTTGACAAAATGGGGAATATAATAGTAACATTTATAAACTGATCTAATGGAAATCACGTACACTGACTACCAATAAGTATTTGGACACCTGTGGTAGAAAAGGAAAACTAACTTTATTCAAAATCAACAGTTGGTAGAGCCTCCACGAGAGGTAATTACAGCGTGGACCCTCCGGGGCATACTTTCCACAAGTCTTTGTATGACAGCTAGTAGTATTTTCTTTCACTCAGCTTGGAGAAGACATAGAAGTTCATCCACCGATTTTGCACGGGTAGTGCACCCCTGAATTCGGTGGTGCAACTGTCATACCATCCATGTCCTCCCCATTTTAGAGAATCGCCTATCTGTAGATCTCTGGGTGGTCCATTGTCGCTGCTCAGAGTACCCACTGGCTACGCATTATTTCCCTCTTCTTATCAGTTTGGCTACATTTTGGCAAAAACCGCAGGTTTCGTCTCGCGCCAATATACTTGAAAATCAAATAGAGGCCATCTCTTTCTCAATCTGTCTCATAATTTTAATGCTAATTTTTTTAGTACTGACTTTTGTTATGATTAAAACGTCAGCGATTTTGCACGCTCTTTAAGCTTACCAATTTTAACTTTTTAATCATAACAAATAAGAAGAATAGATTAATATTTAGATTTAATGCTTCTGAAAATAGAAAACGGGTCATACTAATAATAAGATTTTATTTCAACATTTTTTTGTGGAGTGCATAAAACCCTTAAGAAACTAACTTAAGAACTCTTTCAAGTGCTTCTGTTATGTAGGCAATTTGTGTCTGATTTATCAGGAGATAAATAAGAGAAATTGTATGTAATAGTTTTTGTGATTTTCATTCAGTGATTGCTTTCAATGATTTTCAGATTGTAAATTAAAATCAATTTATCTTTAGACCCTCTTTAGGATGAGATCTGCCAAAACGTATTTAAATATCAGTAAAGCTCACGTTACTTCTAAATTGAATCAAAACATCAGTTACATTGTATAAAAATTTGGCCAGTTTTATTTGCTGAAATTCTTATACTCCTCAAGAAGGGAATTCAGACAAGTTAATAAAAATATCTTTAAAAAATATTTTGTCTGTAATAAGGTGTATGTCAACTTACTATTAAATGTATGAAAATTAGGATTGGATTACGGAAAAGCACGAACGCTATCTGCTTAAGATGGATGCTTTCGTGTAAACCTTTTTAGAGAAAATTGCTCGCATTTACGTTCCTGTGGAAACTCCACATGATAAACCCGTTCTTCGGGTTTGATTGGATTAATTTTGTTCGCTTACTGAATTACATGAAAGCACACAACAATTACCTGTATAAGGGAATTATGCCTTCGCGGAGGACTTGCTTGCATTTACGTTACACAAAAACCGTGAATCCAATTATTTAGCCAGGATTCAAACCCAAGCGAGCTACAAGTGTTCAGCCACCTTTACCGCTCTATTGAAGAGCCCGTAAAAATATTGAAATAACCGGTTTAATTTACTACATTATATTTCTCAATCGACAGTACATAAATTACGCATATGAGGGGGATTATTTGTGAATAAATAAACTGTATTGCTTTCTCCACTATTCATATTACGAGGGAATTATTGCATTCAAAGTTATTTTCGTGAATTAATTTTGCTCCGTTCATGATTTTTGATATTTTCAAAGAGAAAATTCCACACATTAAATAAAAAAATACACAAGAAGAACTTTATGCAAAATTTGGGCGTAAAAGTTTTCTTAATTTTGCTTTGAAAATATTCCAGGGTAATCGTTTTCATTATGGAAGAAATATGAAAAAAAGATTTACTACATTGTGTCAACACCCAGTATGTCCTTATTCTTTTGAAAACGTGAAAGATTACTCTTTCTAAAATAAATTAGAAAATATATTATGTGCAAATAGAATATTCGTTGAAAATGAATAGACTTCAACCTTTGGGATACGATGGTTTTAGACGAAATTTCTACCTATGAAAGAAATTGACGTATAATTAATTCTTCATGAACATTTAACACTCTTTCTCTTTTGAATGATGATTGCGGTATGATTTTTTTTCTTACTAACAGAACAAAGCCAATTTTACAAAGAAAAATTCTCGTTAAAGATATACCTTCTTTGCCTGATAGTCCAATGATAAAGTAATAAGTTAAAGATTTAAACGCAACCAATGTATCTCGGATTTGATTTTTTATATTATAATAACAAAATTATCGAAAAAAGCGATTTAAATCTCTTTAATGTTATGTAAAGCTTTATTATTACTGTAAGTTCATCTCAAAATCTAATTGTATTGAGTCATTCCAATCATCTAATGTATAAATATTATTTTATTTTATTAAATTAGTCATTATCATTATTTATTAATGAAAATATGTTTTAAAAATGCATTCCAGCCTGCATACAAATCTATTTACTATATTTTGTTAAATTTTGTTCTCGCTTTAATTTTATACGAAAATACGCGAATATAAATGAAGAGTGAAAACAAAGTTAAAAATTACAATTATTTACGCGATTGATAGAAATAGTGAGTAAAATATAAACATGCATACATTTTGTTCTAAAAAATTGTGCACTGGATATGCATCCAGTACTGCATATTTATTTATGCACTATTTATTTAGAACTTCATTTAAATAAAAGCAAAATAATCATTGAAAAATTGCAAATCTAGCACCCTCTACTATGGGACGTAAGCGTCAAACATGAAATTTTACTTCATCCATGGAGGGGGACTAACGACTTTTCTCATTAGGAAAATGTCAAAGAGGGGGCAAAACTGTTCCGGATCGCGCTGGTCTGAAGGCTATATTATGAGAATTTCGGCCCGGTTTTAGAAGGTTAATGCAACCAAAAAAAAAGAGCAACTCGCTTGTGAAACATTTACTACTTATTAAGTGCTCTTTATCCACTTTATCATTGCCTTCTTGATTCTTTTAATCACAGTTTTTTGAACAACTTAAATTTAACACAATATATCAGTCACTAATATTTTTTTAATTTTTTTTGCAGACTTTCGGGAATGTTTAAACATTGCTAAATTTACGAGAGGAAAATAATAGAAAAATAGTATCAAGGGTTGAATTGTGATTTTAGTAGATGTAGATGTTTATGTAATAGCTAGAATTTAGTAGTTGTTTATGTAATTATTTTTTTCTCTTATGTGTATCATATTTTGTTAATTTGGATTTATATGCTATGTTTAGGTCTGCATTTTTCTGGTTCTCAAATGATGAGCGCCCAAAAGTCAAAGAATCAATGCCAGACTCAACTGTTGGTGATGTTGCTAAAGAGCTTGGACGACGATGGAATGAAATTTCACCTGAAGTTAGATCTAAATATGAAGCGCTTGCAGCCAAAGACAAGGCCAGATACATGAAGGTCAGAATTTTATTTTTTTGAAGTGGCCACTTGGCATAGCCCGTTCCCTAAAATAGTTATAAAATATGTGTATGTAATAATTCTGATAGGAAACGACACAGCTTGCAGTCGTCGTAACGGAGAGTGAAGGCTTATAGGTAAAGATAACAAAAGATGAACTGTGTGAATTTCCAGTCTTTATTTCCACGCATAATAAAATCATCTCTGTAGATGCCTATCCAGTCATAATGAAATCCGAGACATTTCTATGATTCAATCATAATGAAGTATGATAAATTAATAAGTATGTTAAGTCTTAAAATTAAGACACAGGCCACTGGAATGGGTACTGATAATAATTATGCATATTTAATTAGAAACTCATTTGCTTTGCAAAATTCATTGAAAAAATTGAGTAGACTGTCTGGACGTCAGAATTGGAATTTTACTCATCCATGGAGGGGGACTATGTTTTCTAAGGGAAAATGTCAAAGAGGGGGGGCAATCTGTTGACTGCTCTTGGCAATTTTCGCCGGCCCGGTTAAACACGACAAAGTACCCTTTTTTTCTTAGTACTATCTCAAAATTGCCTTCTCGACAACAATCAACTGTTTCTATTGCACAAAAATCAACATTTTTTGAATTTATTTCACTGTTTTTTATGGAAGTATATTGTATAAAAAGCGTTACTATTTGTTCACCGTAAAAAATTGCAACGAAAATTTGATGTCTCAAAATCGCCATAAATCTGGTCAAACGAATCCATTGAACATCACAACACACAAATCTGCGTATTGCCTGATTTCGATTGCAATAAGTTTCTCTAGTTTCTATATTTCTTAACGCTTAAGCAGGCATTGTGGAAGGTTTCAAATTTTTAAAAGACGGGAAACCAAATCCATTTTTCACCCCCTTTTATCCTGTGTAAAGGAAAAAGACTCTTTTCCAACTTTCCTGTGGTCCCCTTTTGACAATTTTCAGATCCTTTGTTAATAAAGATAGAAGATTGGAATTATTTTTTGTTCTTGTGTCTTTTTTCCTCTTAAATAAAAACATATTATGTAGATTCTTAAAATTGCGTAGTTGGAATATTACTTTTGACCATTGCGTCATATTAAAATACACCTTAGCAAGAAATCACACCTAAAAAAAGTCATACTTTACTGTTTATTTGTTTCCAAAATAATTTTTTAGAATTACTGTCCTAATTGCATTTTTATTTATACTCGAAAATAATGTTAAACATTTGTTCTCGTGTAATCGGCATACTTTTATTTTGTTTCCAGATTGTGTAACAGCTTTTTTTATATATCACAAATTCCTTGTATTTTTTTAATATTGTTTTGTTAACTTTTCATATTCTTATTAGTTTAATTCATTGTCCCCACCCATTGTATCCGAAGTATTTCTTACATTGTAATTAAATACAAAAATAGGATAAAAGGGAAAAAGAAAAAAACATTTATACACTGAAAGTTTTTGAAATAATACTTATTAAAATTGCTAAGATTTCAGGGCTGAGGGAACAAAATGGAATTTACGAACCCCACAGTTGGAGGCAGGCTCTCATAAGTGGCAGGGGGTTGACAATGACTATCCTGCAGCCTGAAGGATGGGGGAGGTGAATTGCTGGCCTGATTAGCCACGTCTTTTTTGAGAAAACTCTGCGATTCTTAGGCCACCCGTCTTTAAAGTTAAGAAGCCATTGAAATACTAGTTTAATTTTTAAATCCTTTTTTGATATCTTATGGATTCAACAATTTGGGAATTGCATATAAGTTATAATAATAAAAAAGTATTATATAAAACTAACCTTTCATATAAATTAAGGCGATAATCTTTAGATAGTTATTTGGTGACAACAATATGAAAAGTGATACTGCCATTTGCAGTCATTTGATGCAAAATTCTGTTTCAAGATTAATAGCTCTTCTGGGCTAAAAATAATAATGGATAAAAATCAATTCAAGATATTAAAAAAAGTTGTTTATTGTGTCTTAGTTTTATTTTAAAAAATGGTTAATAGATTTATCTCTTTACACACATTTTGTATGACATCACTTGAGATATCCAGATCCCCCTTCACCGAGCTCAGTCTGTGTTTTGATTGTATGTTATAGAATTATTTCTAAGTTTATTAGGCAGTTGAAGGCCTTTAACTCTTGCGTCAATGGAGGCCAAAATCTGTTCCTTTGAAACTTGCATGTATGCGAATTTGCAGGTGTTCGGGTGACCTGCTAATATCTGAACACATGGCTGACTGTGCTGTGAAAGGTTTAATACTGAATCTAATATTTTGACCTCCTTTATCATCACTACTTTCTTTGAATATGTGTGATTTTCTACAACAGTTCCGAGTAATTTCCCCCTCCCCATATCTGAAAACTTTATCAGCATTTGGCAGTAACATGTTCAATTGTAAGCTCTTCAAGGCCTTCTTGACTTTTTAGCAGCTCACTTAGTCTTTTAGTTCTGCTCGCTTTTTAGCAACTTTTGCCCCTTCCACATACCTCTTTGAGTAAGTAATAAGGAAGCAGGTGTAGAAAGTTCCAACGAATTGGACGTTGTTAAAGTTTTTCACCATTACTTTTTTGAATCTGGTGTAATTTAATTATTTTTTTTTAAATTTATTTTCCCCCTTTGGGGCGATATTATATACCATATAGTTGTAAAGGGGGTAAATCAAATTGATGTAAATTTTATATAAAATTACCATAAAATAGATAATGAACAGCTTTAAGGATTTGATTGATGAATCTTTTCCTTTGGAGTATAATTGAATTTCCAGCCATTGGTTTATTGAGATTAATTTTACTAATGTTTTTAGTATTAATAAAGTCATATGTGTAAAACTAAAATGCAAAATAACAATATTCGGTGCTTAAATGTTCACTGTCAGTTGTAAGGAAAATGCGTTTCTCCCCTTAGTTTAGTTTTTTTTTTTTTTTTTTTTTTTTTTTTTTTTTTTTTTAAGGTTTTTAAAGTTTATTTTAAAATGATGCTACTCCAGTTGAATCACATTTATGTTAATGAGGAAAAGTGATTGTGGTGATTACTACTTGGACTGTCAGAAGTTTTTGCAAAATATTACTTAGCATCTTTCTTTGTCATCTGTCAGTTTTTTTTTAAATATATTCCTTCCTTTACTGCAGTTGTGTAAATTAATTTGCATGTGCTTATATTATCATTTGTCAACTTAGGAAGTAAAAGCCTACAAAGGGAAAAAACCTAAAGCAGCCCCATCCAAAGCAAGCAAGAAGAAAAATGATTCAGATGAAGAATCTGGTGAAGAGGAGGAGGAGGAAGAAGAACCTGAAGAAGCTGAAGCTGAAGAAGAGGAAGAGGAAGAAGATGATGATGAAGACGAGTGATGAACATTACCTCATGTATCATTTATAGAGCAGGAATATTATCTCCTGCTGTCTTAGTAAACTTGTTAATAGCATTTCATTGTAGGGGTTTATGGATAGGTGTGTTACTTGTGCATCTAAAACGAAAAGCCTTAGCTCGGATTGGCAAAAAATTTTTTAAGTCTCACTTGTAATTTTATGCCTACAAATGGTATTTTTGAACATATTCAAGTGACGTTTGTGATTTTGTTAGAACTGAGTGATGTAAATTTGTTGCACATCTGTCCTAAGGCTACCATCTCATTACTGCATTTTCATTTCACACTGGTGTACTTATATAATCCGATTTCATACTTTCTAAAAACAAAAATTACCATTTCAGGGTTACGTGTTTCGTGTAATCCATCCACTTAGCAATTTGCAAAGTGGTTGCATCTGTAAATAATTAACTGTCTTTAAAAATTCTTTATGAAAATTTCCCTTTTTTGTATGAATGATGTTTCCATTCATTTTTATGACAAACTCTGTTTATTCCTTATATGTGTCCATGTAATTTTTTTGGTTAACTACCTCTGTAATTTATTGAAACGTGCTGTTTCGCACTTATGGATTTTTAATGGTGAAGGGTTTAAATTTTGTGATTAGATATCAGTTTTAAATTTTGATGCACCCACTTTGTAATATATAATGCAGTTGGCTAGTTTAAATCAGTTTCTGTAAAAGATGTATAAATAAAAGCCTAGTTTCTTCCTTTTTATTTTAGCTTAGTTTTTTCCTTTTTATTTTAAGTTCTTAATGGATCATATGCACAAAAATTTTAAATGGGATCTGAAAGGTCTGATTTTCATACATTGTGTTACTGTTGTATCTAGAACACTTGTATTTTTTAACAATTTTTATAACCATGATTGTGCTGATGCAGTGCAGTTTGTTTGGAGGCCTAACAGCAGTTTCTGCATCATTTTCAAGTAACTGTACATTTTAAAATATGGTTTAATGAAGTACATCATTTTAATGTGTTGAAGAATTTGTATTTGAACAAAAAAAAAAAAAAATAAAAATACTCATGTGTATTCCCATCTTTTATAGTTTTTAACTGTGCAGATTTCTTCTGGCTGTTTGGTGACATAATTCACGTTTTCAATTTCACCGTATCAGAAAATTGGGAATATTCCTCTTTATTGTGTATGATTTAGAGATTATTTCATTTATTATTTTTGAGCAAAATTTGACTGCAAAATAGAAGTTTGCTCTCGTTCAATATGGCTAAGTTAGATACAAGTGTACATAGCTGCCAACTATTCCAGTTTAATATCACATCACCTAGCAGTTTGCTGAAGCTTCTGAATTTCAATTTTGTTTTTTACTTTTACTAAGGAAAAGAATAAATATTGAAACTTAAATTTTGTAAATTCCATTCGCTATTATACTGATCTTCAGCATCATTTTTGTTATTAGATTGTATTTGAGTGTCTTGTACTTGGAGACATTTGTAGAACTTGAGGATTCAAGCAATTCCCCCCCCCCATTTGTATACAGTGCCTTTCTAAATGTATGCCCACATGACTATATTGGCAACATAAATCAGATATCAAGATGCACATCGCTGACTAAAAGGGCAGATAAAAATGTGAGAATGTGATTTATTGAAGAGAAAAAAGTCGTTACACTTGTACAAGGCTCAAGCACAAAGCATTTCATCTGCTCAGAATTGTTTACTCTTAGTTTGTTTTGTTTATTAAGCACTTTTACAAAATGGCATAATGTAATACAGCTGCCAAGTCTCTGTTTCACCCTCAGAAGATAACTGAATTTTAATTTTTTGCCTTCACAAAGCAAAATATTTTCTGGCAATCAATAAAATTTATTGAATGAAACTTAAATTTTGCAAATTCTATTCCTCCATCTTTAATGATTTTCAAAATAATTTTTCTTATTTAAATTTTATTTCATTTGAATTGTTAATTTTTATTATAACATCTTATTGAATTTTATTTTATACAAACAGTTTTAGCCTCCTTGGCTCTCGTTTGTATTTTGTGTGAGTATATGTAAAGGAATTTGTTTAGTAAGTAAATTATCTTTCAAATTGGTTACTTTCTAAATATTACATGTATAAATTAAAAGGATAGAGTTCATCTGAAGTCTTTTTAATTAATTTGGTTATAAAGAAAATAGCACGGTTGCCACGCTGCCGGAGGAATTCGAAAATTGGCCAAAACATTTGGGGAATTTTTCTTAACGAATTGTGTTTTGCGTGAGCATCATTCGGCCAGCTCTCATAGAGCTAATTTTCGCTGCTCCAGATTGTCAGAAAGGTAAAGCATGTTTCTACTCAGTCAACTTTGAACTAGGTCTGTAACAAAAACGGCAAGTATTTTGCCTCAAACTACTTCAAGAACGGGTCACCCTTACCATGTTTAGATATAGTTAACCGAATTCTTCTCTCTGTTGAATTTAGCAAGTGAAATTAGTTTTTCTCCCTGTGGTATCTTTGTCACAGGACTGGTTGCTAAAATGGTATTTGATTTCCTATTTGGCTACTTTATAATTTGCATACTAACACATATGCTGTATATTACCCGTACCTTAATCAAGATATGTGACGAATACAGAAAGTTATTCAAATATACATCAGTAAGAGAAACTATGTAAAATGCTTTAAATTTCCTGTTTCTTTAAGGAATTGCTTTGGTAATCGTGAAAAATTAATCTTTCATTTTCTACCATTATTTTCTGAGAAAATACTTTTTAATCTACAAATGGAATTTGTGAGGATTTTTTTTCTCTTGTGTTCCAGTTTTTCGAATACAAATTATTCGTAACTTTTTTAATATTATGTTTATATTTAATTTTCAAGTAATTTAAGTTTATTCCAGTTTAAAGTTTTAGATTGCATCATAAATTTATTAGTATTTATTTATGACACCGTTTTAACTTGTGTAAAATATTGTAATCGCGAAAATTTTTTATTTTTCATATTTCAAAGGAAATTTCCATTTTGATTAGGTCCATCATGACGTTTACACATAGGTATGTTGTATAACTTCATAAAATGTTTATATTTTGGACTTATGACTAGTTTTAGCGCGACGTATATCTCCATACATATGTATGTATATCGCATAACTCAAAAACGGTTAACCATAGAATGTTGAAAGTGTCTGTATGGGATTGGTATAACATCTAATTGTGCACCTCCCTTTTTTTCTTGCCATCGGCAGTGCCAAAGGGGCATTTTGAAATTGAAAATCATATCTCGTTTTCAAACGAAATGGGTTTAAACAGGGTTTGTAGCGGTTCTTATATTTGAAAATAAAATATAAAGGCCCTTATAGGTGCTTACTTTTTCTTTAAAGCCCCCCCCCTTTTTTTTTTTTTTTTTTTTTTGTTTTTAGTGCTTTTTTTTAAATGAACGCACAATTTTTCCCCATACCAAAGCGAAACTAAATAACACTTACAATCCTAATTTGGAATGTCAGATGGGAATCATACTCCCGGAAATAGCTTTCCCATTTCTCTGCATTAACATAACCTTGGGGGCAGAGTACAGACAGGCGTCGTCTGTTGGTCAAGAATTGCAAACAGTAGAATTCGTACCTTCGCTCTTTTCCCCACCCAAATACTACACACGGAATTTCTATCAAGTTCTAATAAGCATTCGCAGGCCGCTTGGCCGTTCATATTCTTGTTATTATGATCTTAGATTATGAGGAGGTATAATGTTTAAATAACATAGTTCGACTTGGGGGAACTTCCAAATGGTGTTTTAACAGATAGCTTCTAAGATAATATTCGGAAGGAAATTGATAGTCAATAATTTATCTTTTTGGCCAATTACATTATACAGTAACGAAGATTGGGAGGTTCTCCCTTTTTCCGAAAATTTACTGTGAAACCGTTACAGTTGCTGCAAAACAACAACAGCGGCTTTTTTTTTGTCACTTCCAATTTGGATTGAATAGGACGAAAGTTTGCGCTACCACCAAGCAACAATGATTCATCCGATTGCGTCATTATAAAGAATATATGCGCACAATTGCGTCAAGCCGTTGCAATATTTGCAGAGATAATTATTTTGTGTTCTCCCGAGATTTGTTTATGAACACTTTTACTATGCTTGCTAACAGAATATTTTTTAGTTCCGTTAGAAATGCACATATCGAAATGTCAAAAGCATTTATTTACGGAAAATCTAAAGGCGGCTACCCTACCCCCTCTCCTCCGCTCCTCTTTTTCAAGTTACCTCGACTGTCCAATATTCGCCAATTTCCAGTATGGGGTTAGTTAAGCTTTATTGTTAAGGATGACTGCATGAAGCAATTTCTGTCTTTGATTCAGAAATGTTCCTCTTTTTTACTTAATTACTTGCTTGCATATCTGTAAAGGAAAACGATATACAATGAAATTTAAAAATTCGAATTTAGATTTAATTATTTAAATAATTGAGTGGAAAATAAATTGTATTTATTATTAGTTCCAGCGAATAAATAAACATTGCCTTATTATTATTTATTTTCTCTATTTTGACTGAAATTTCATCATTAAATCGTGTAATATAGTTTGTTCTGCATGTTTTTTTTTTTCTCTCATTGTAACTAGTTCTGTAAATTGAACTGTTTTAAAATTTTTAAAAAAAGTAATTATTTTCCTTTGAGGTAATGCTTATTCTCTCTTAATAAATACTGCATTTCTCATATTTTAAATTACGAGTCTAATTTTTAAGGTTATGCAGTTGTGTATAATGTAATTAGACAGGTGCTTATTTTTTTAATTAAAATGTGGCTATGAACTCTGTTAAATGAAGTTTAGCAAGAATTGCGTTTAATTTATTTGCCATGCTAGGAAGTCGTGGTGTCTGCATCAGATTTTAAAAATGTTTCAAAGTAAATAAATATATGGTTTGAATATCGCACAATCTCAAATATATGAGTTTTATTTGTTTGTAATTATTTCACAAGAAAGATAAGTAATCTAAACAGCATACCTTGAAGAGAAATACATTAAATACAATTTTTTTAAAGCAAAATTTAAAGAATAGAATAAGTGATTAAATTTTCTTTAAATCCCTTTTGTAAAATATTAATGAAACCAGATATTGTTTTTAGAAAGGCAATTTGTAAAGTGATAAGGTTTTTTAGATTCTAAATACTTGAAAAATGAGCAATGACCTCGCCGGGATTCAAACGTAGACTTCTCGAACACGCTCCGAGGGTGCTACCATTACACCTCAAAGGATGCAGTGAGAAATAAGAAAATACCTTATATACTCCCCCTTTTAAAGGCCGACTGGAGATAAGGAGACCCAATTGCCAAATCCTGGTGGTGAAGAATCATCATCCATCACCCTCCTTTTTTTTTTAGTTCGGACACCACTGTAGAACATTATGTTGTTTGTGGAGGAGCCACATAAAGCTGGGACTCGAATCTTTGACCTCTCGAATATACACCGAATGTGCTACATTACACCACGAAGGCATGCAGAGAGAAGGGAGAAAATATCTTATCAACTTTAAGGAGAAAAGTATTGCTTTAAAATTAATATTGCACATTAATTTCCGCCTTAAATTGTCTTCCTGAAAAAAAAATTTTTATGTAATACTCATCTAAAGCAGTATTTCTATACATAAATTTGATATTCTTAAAGTTATATTATCTAAATGTATTTATAAGCAGTCAGATTAAATACAATATAACAACTGCACAAGATTTACGTAAAGATCCATTTCAATTGTCTATTTCCATCTATTCTATGATCAGCCAAAATAGAGTTATAATTAACCTCTTGAATATTTGAACGGGTAAAATATGGCATATGCGAACAAATAAAATTATCTCATTACTGTTGGGGATGTTGAACGTGAAACTTTTTTTAAAAAGGCGGCAAAACATATGACAGTTTTAAGTTTAGTTTATTTGATTACGGCAAAGCAGGAAAGTGTTATTTTATGAAAGTATGTCTTTGTGGAGACTTTCCAAGGAAATTGGTTGCTATTGACATTACACAAAAGGAAAACCACCGAAGGGTCCATGCAGTCAACCTGTACGGGTCGAACTACCAGTCTTAACGATATTC